GCAGCTTGGCACAGCTGTGCAGAACATTTGCTCAGGTTGTTGGGCCTGCATGGCCCAGTCAGGTGGACGTTGAAGATCTCTCACAGCTCACATTTGATCTTGTTCAGGAGTTCCATACCACACAGATAAAACTAAGATAATTTTATTCTGAAAAAAGAAATCCAAAATTGATGTTTTTTTGTTCATATGGTCCTCAAAAATCCTCTGTAATACTTTCATGAGTTGCTGTATTCCCTGGCAAAATTGGACTGAATCACGCAGTATACATAAAATATTAATCCTGTTACCTGACAATAAAAGTAGAAGCTGGGCATGGTGTGCTCACTTATAATCCCAAATACCTATGGTCCAGGTAGGAGGATCACAAGTTTGAGACCAGCCTAAGCACCTTGAGTGAGTCCTCGCTCTTAATTTTGAGCCAGTCTGCGCTGTTTGGGGAACCACAGAAAGGAAGTGACGTGTGAATCAGCGTGCTTGCAGGCAGCGTTTCTGGTTGGAGTGTGTCTTACTCTCGAGCAAGGGCCTCAGGGTCTGTCTGACTTGTCACTGCTGTACAGAATGTTTTATGGGGACACAAGTACATGTCTGTCATCTGTGACTGACTTACCTTTCGGCTGCAGAGTTGGGTGGTTGACAAGATCAAATGCCCTGCAAAACTGAAATTATTTACCCTCTAACCCTTTACATTAGGGATTTCTTACTTCTAACCCTGTCATTAGCCATTTTTCATGGCAGTAATAACATAGACTAATTACTGAAGATTTTCCTGTTTTGATAGCAGGTTCCATAGAATTAGTGTGTACAGTGGGCTGATTTGTTTTCTATCACTAGAGTAAGATTGAGAGAGATGAGAGAGAGAAAGAAGGAGAAGAAGAAAAGGGGAGGGCAAGGAAGGGAGGGAGGGGGGAGAGAGAGAGAGGAGATGGAGAAAGAGACTGTTCTTTTGATCTACAAATGGTTATGGTTTCTTTGGCCAAGATTTGTCAGTAAGTAAGATGGAGATATATTGTAGGTTAAAGTGTAGTGTTATGCTTTATATTGTTCAAAATAGTTATATCGTGTGAAATCAAGTTTTTATTTTATGTAGCTTTTCTAAAAATTGGTATTAAGAACTTATTATTGAATGTTTGTATCTTGATCTATTGCTGGTTCCCGATCTCCGAATCAAGTGTTCATGTTGCCTAAAAATAGGTGCACATAATTTTTAGCATTTCTCCCTGAAGTGATGGAAGGAGCAGTAGAAGTCATTGATGGTGTAAATGTCTACATCATGCGTTTTGTCCTTTGATAAAACTTAGTAGTCAGGGTTAGTATCTAGGTGTCGAGCTCTCTGAGCCCACCCCCGTGTATGCAAATGTGTAATTCTTCTCCAGCCATTACATATTTAATGTATAACGTCTTCTCCAGCAGACATATTTAATATGTTGTGTTAAATATGTTGCTTTATAAAATCCTTTCACACATTATGTGTTTTGGAGTCCTTTGAGGTTGAAAAAAAGAAGTTGGTGAAATTATTTTTAGCACATAAGCATTACTGACCAATTTACAGAGATTTGTTCTTTTTAAGCATTCATATCTTTTAAGGAGTGCTGTGTTTGTGTTCTCATGTTTATGTGTTTATACTTACTTGGCATTTATGTAGGATAAATTCCTCGTAGGTCTCGATGTGTTAGGATATAGACGCCTGATCCTAGGTTGCCATTTAGAAAGGTGCGTATAAACATCGTCTCGCCTTGTTGGCAGTCCTTCAGATATTTGTCAACATGGTGATTTTAAAAATCCCATGATAAAACCCTACAGAAAATTGGAATAGGTAATCTTTACCTCAATCTGATAAAAGCCATCTATGACAAACCAATAGCCTGTATCATACTAAATGGACAGAAACTGACAGCCTTCACTATGAAATCAGGAGCAAGACAAAGATGTCCCCTGTCACCACTCCTATTCAATATAGTTCTGGAATCATTAGCCAGAGGAATTAGACAAGAGAGGCAAATAGAAGGAATAATGATTAGAAAGGAATAAGTTAAATTATCATTATTCACAGATGACATGATACTTCAGGTAGAAGACCCCTAAAATGCCAAGAGACTTGTTAGATTTAATAACCAAATTCAGTAGTGTAGCTGAATACAAAGTCAACACTCAGAAATCAATAGTATTCCTGTACAAAAACGACAAACATACAAAGAGAGAAGTTAGGGAAACCACACCTTTCACAATAACATCCAGAAAAATGAAAGTACTTAGGAATCAGTCTAGCAAAGGAAGTAAAAGATCTGTACTGTGAAAATTGCAGTGTTCTGAAAAAAAGAGATCAAAGAAGATGCTCCTGGGTAGGAAGAGCCAACATTGTGAAAATGGCCATACTCCCAAAATTGTTATATGAATTGAATGCCATCCCAATTAAACTACCATTAGTATACTTCATAGTTCTACAGAAAACATTCCTAAAATTCATCTGAAACCAGAAGAGACCCAGAATATCAAAAGCAGTCCTGGGCAACAAAAGAAAGGCAGGAGGCATCACAATCCCTGACTTGAAATTATACTACTAAGCTGACGTGATAAAATCAGCATGGTACCGGCACTAAAACAGACCTGAGGATCAGTGGAACAGATCACAAGGTGCAGAGACAACTGCAGACACACTCAGCTGCCTTAACTCTGACAAAGGGGCCACACCTTTTCGGTGAAAGGAAGATAGTCTCTTTAATAAATGGTGCTGGAAAAACAGGCTTTCCCCATGCCGAAGGCTAACAACATCAGACTCATGTTGATCACCATGCACAAGACTAAAGTCAAAATGATCAAAGATTTAAATATTCAGACAGAAACACTAAATGTATGAAAGGGGAAAGTAGGTAGAAATCCTGAAGACATAGGAGTAGACAGTTCATGAACAAAATCCAAAGTGCACCAGAAATACTTCAAAGAATAAACAACTAGGATCTCATCTTATTAAATAGTTTTACACTTTTGTCAAAAGAAATCACCAGTAGAATAAAAAGAAATCCCATGAATTGGGAAAAAAAAATTAGCTGCCTGTTCCCTCAAACAAAGGACTTCTGTCTAGAACATATAAAGAATTAAAAGAAAATCTGACCCTCAAAATTCAAAGACCCAATCCAAAAATGGGCATCTTAGGTGGATACAAGCTTCTCAGTGAAGAAATACAAAAAGAAAATAAATATATGAAAAAATGTTCAACACCATTGGTCATTTGAGAAGCGCAAATTTAAACAACAGGAGATTCCATTTCACTCCAGAAAGAATGGCTATCAGCAAAAAAAAAAAAAAAAAAAAAAAACCAAACCAAACCAAAAAACAAAGCAAAACAATAACACATGCTGGAGGGGTTGTGGGGGAGAAAGAAACCCTTCTCCATTGTTGGTGGGGGTGCAGACTGGTCCAACTACTGTGGAAACCAGTGTAGAGAGTACTTAAAAATTAGGATTTGCGATCCCATTTCCTGGGTATTCTTCCAGAAGAACTAAAAACATCAAACCACAGTGATATATGTCCATTCGTGTTTATAGCAGCACAGTTTGTCATAGCTAAATCTTGGAAACAATCCAAATGCCCATCAGCTGAGGAATGGTTAAAAAGATGTAATATTTTTATACAATGGAGTATTACTCAGCTATAAAAAAAACCCTCAAGGCTTTTATAGGTAAATGGATGCAACTAGAGACCGAACTTTTAAGTGAAATAAATGAGAACTGCATGTGTAAACATCGTAATGACTCCCTAGTGTTAAGAACCTGAAAGAAGAAATAAAGTCTGAAAAGTACAATAGATTCTGTGAAAGGGAAATAAACTGCTCAAAGGGAAGGAGGAACTAGGATGAGGAAAAGGAAAAAAGAAAAAAAAAGGAAAAAATATGCGCATATCCACAGCACAGCTAAGGTAACTGTGCCGCTGATTTCTACTTGTGTATTGACAGGGCCAGTTCCTGCTTACATTTTTTTTTTTTTTTTTTTTGCTTTTTTTTAAACCAAGTTTGCATGCTCATATCTGGTAACTTGAACAACTAATTTGATGACAATATGCAATATAGCAATCATTTTTGAATTCCTATCTGGTTTAGTGAAATTCTAATTTTGCTTCTGATTTTTAAAGCTATTTTTTATTCTCTTTAAAAAATAAAATTAAAGTGATGGATAAAACAAAGTCAAACACAAGGTCGGAATGGACAAATATGAAACAAACTTTGAGAAGAGACGGAAGTGTAGGTGGCCAACAAGGATTCAGTGTAACTCAAAGACTGAGCTAAGAGTAGGGAATTATTGTGCTATTACATTTTTAGGAAAAGATATAGACATAAAAGGTCTATTGTGGAGTAGAAAATAATTTTAAATGCCTATGCTATAGTAGAGCATTTTATTATTTTTTACAGAATGGGCACGCTTACTTTTTTATTGACACTAGGGATTGAACTTGGAACTTTGCACTAAACTAAGGCCCCAATCCTGGAAAAAAAAATTTTTTTTTTTTTCAAAATTAAGAGCCAGGGACTGACTAAAGTGCTTAGGCTGCTCTCAAACTTGTGCTCCTCCTGCCTGGACTATAGGTACTGGAGGTTGTAGGTGCGCACTACATGCGTAGCTTCTGCTTTGTTGTCAGGTAACGTGACTCAGTGCCACTTTCCAGATCTCTAGCACATAGCTACTGCCCGCACGTGGAGCTGTAGGTACCCACCTGCCATGTATCCCAGAGCAGTGTGTTAGTGTTGGAAGATAAATTAATATTTTAAATAAGACAATGGCGCATTTAAAAATTTAATACCCAGAAACCAAAAACAGAGTTCTTTAGCCAGAGGAAGCTGCAAAGTCAGTCCCGCATTGAGACTCGTGTGCTGTGTAAAGTGTATCTGACCGGTCTTGGGCCTCGGTGGTTGTTTTTGGTTTGGGAGAATGTGCCTTTTATATCCTAGGTGAGTTTTTCCCTCTGCGTAGACATTGTGTGTGTGCTAACAGTGCGCATGTTCCTTTCAGGCTCAGACTGCTCGCCAGCATGGTCACCTGGTAACGAGCCCCTGTGGCCAGCCACCGCCGCGCCATCCAGCCAGCGAAGCACACCGATCAGGAGGCACAGCATAGCGTCCGACAGCGGGGACACCGGCATCGGAACCTCCTGTTCTGACAGTGTGGAAGGTGAGCCGCCGCTCCTGCGTTAGGTCCAACTCTGCACAAGGGTACCCAGGGCCAGTGCTTGATCCTTCCAAGCGGGAGATGACACTGCTGGAGTGTTCTAATATTCAGTGTTGCTACATTTTCACTTAACTTTCCTAGTGCAGCATTTATTCTGAGATAATTGTAGATTCACATGCCTGTTTTAGAATCATACAGAGGGGTTCTGTGTACTCTCCTGTTGCCCCCTTCGAAGTATCTCTCTAGACTAGGTTAGTGCCCCAGTGGGGCTGGACTATGGCCAGGGTGCAGAGGTGTCCCTTTGCCTCAGTGCTCCCAATCCTGCGCTCCCCTCATCCCTTGACTCCTGGGATGCATCAGTCCTCCACTCTGTGACCATGTCTGTCTCCAGAGTGTGATCTGAATGGAATGCTGGGGTGTATGACCCGCTGCGGGTGACCTGGTGCGCATGTGAACGGTCTGTCCTTTGCTCAGTGAACGTGCTCAGCAGTGGAGGTCCTGGACACCCCAGTGGGGTCGGAGGTCCAGGAGTGCCACGGCTGGGCTGTGGAGTAAGAAGTTGCTTGGTTATTTTGGGAGAAACACCACACTGTTTTCTGGAGTGTCTGCCATTTCTGTCAGTACCGCATGTGTAAGTAATCTGGTTTCTTGTCAGAATTTGATGTTTTAAAAATCGTCCCCTTTCTGATAGGAATATGGTAATGGTTCCTTGTGGTCATGAGATCTCATTTTTAAAAGATAATAATTTTTTAGGGCCGCAGCAAAACTGAAGCCATGGGCATCTACCACATGTTCTGTGTCTGCATGTGCCTAACCTCCTCTGAGGTCAGCCTCTCCTTGAGGAGGCAGGACAGTCACAAGCCAGCCCCGGTGCTGTCAGCTGGCGTGCACCCGCACAAGTTTTCCGCCTCCAGAATCCTCCAGCCTCTGCCCATCCCTTCTTCTTCCCGTAGGTCCTCGCAACCACTGCTGGGTTTTTTAAAACCACCTCTACAGTATTTGTCTTTTTCCGGATGTCATGTATGTAGTTAGAATCATGCTTTATATATATTTTTTTCAGATTGGTTTCATCCCCTGAGTAGTATGCATTTGTTTTCGCCATGTCTTCTCAAGGCGTGCTTCAGTGCTGAGTACTGTTCCGCATTCTGGGTGTATGTTAGTTTATCCACTTACCTACTGAAGGACATCTGGCTGCTCCACGTTTTGGCAGTTGTGAGTAAAGCATCTCTAGATATTTCTATGCACATTTCATGCCTACATCCATTTTTCGCTCCCTTGGGTCAGTGCCCACATACAGTTGCTGGACTGGTATGAATAGGGTGGGTTCAGTTTTGTAAGAAGCTTCTGGACTGTGTGTCAGAGGGGCTGTACTCTGTGTTCCCACCAGCTGTGAGGAGGAGCCCTCACAGGACGTTCTTAGCGGCTCTGCAGGGCTTGCCGTCCTTTGCGCGTCCCTGGTGCCCCAGGCCGTGGCCCGCTTGCTGGCCGTGCATCCTCAGTGGTAAGGCATCATCAGTTAGGGCCTTTGGTTCCTTCCAAGTGGGTTGTGTGTTACTACACGTTATTTATTTGTGCTTGCCAGGGCAGTGCTTATTCTACTGAGCCATCTCCCTGGCCCTGCTACTGCATTTTAAGGGTTTTTTGTGTATTGTAGATAACAATCCTTCATTTGATGCTTTTTTTTTTCGTTTTCCCCTAATCTTTGTCTTTGCATTGCGCCATATGATCTTTTGCAGAGCAAGTCTTTCATTTTAGTGAAGTCCAGCTTCTCTGCTGTTTCTTGGCATAGATCATGTCTTTGTGTTACATCTGAGTGTCGCTGTTGCAGTGCAGTCTGCCTGGTGTCTGCCTGGTGTCTCACAGGTACTTGCTTTCACTTAGGTCTGTGGTCCATCTTTTTGCTGAAGGTGTAATGTAATGTCTCTGGTAGTTGTCCACAGTCTTTGGCTGTTGTTTTACATTTTTGTCAGTCTTCTTACCCATTGTTTTAAATTTTCGACATTTCTGTTGACATGTCCTGCAGTTCAGTCTTTCCTTCTCTGCTCCTTGCCTTCTGTAACAGCTGACCCAAGTGGGTGGTGGGGAGAGCTGGAGGACCCCTGAGAGTGGCAAGGTGAGCGTGGGGTGTGGCAGAGGCAGAGCAGTGGGAAGCTTTTCCCGGGGTCTGGTGCTATTGGCATGACATAGTCTTCCTGACCTTTTGCCATGTATTCACACACATACAGACTTCAAAATAAAACTGATCATCTCCTATATGTTTTATTATTTTCCCTTTATTGACTTCTATATATTGGATTTCCTTTAAAAATAGTTATTTCTTGTTGAGCGCAGTGGCTCACCACTGAAATCGCAGTTCTTGGGAGACAGAGGCAGCTGAAGAGCCAGCTTGGACTACATAGAGAGTTCAAGGCGAGTCTGGACTATGAGGTGGCACCTTGCTGACAAGTCAGAACTTGTAGGATGGTTTGATGGCCTTTCCACGCCACCTTGGGCTCCTGGAATTGGTTCATTCTCCAGGGAGCTAGCCTTAGAAATAAGCCTAAGACTGGCTTTGATTGCCATGGGCATTTCAGGGTAAAGCAAGCTTCCATCTGTGTTTATTATTAATTTTTTCTTGTGTTGGAAGGAAAATGCAGTTGAATATAAAGGCTTCCTGCTGTTCTACAGTGTGTAAGCTAAGCATCAAATGAGAGATGAAGACAGAAGCTTAGAGTTTCTATTCCACCATTTGGCAAGAAAGCTCCTCAGACATACGTTTACGTATTTATGTTGCATTTCCCGAGCAGTCATTTTAACCTAAATACTTGGTAAACACGCGTTTATGTAGAAAGAGGCTGGAGAGAGCAGCATTTCAGAGCAGGAGGAAGGGTGAGGCTTCATCTTGGCTGCCAACCTGACGGGCGGCGGATGCCAGTGCATGTACTCGGGGTGCGTCTAGAGGCGGCCTCAGGGCTGTTTGCTCCCGACCGACTGTTTCTCTTGCGCACTTCCCCTGCTGTCTTACTCCCTGGCTGCACAAGGTGAGCAGTGCCCTCCACAGTGCCCCTCAGCTGTGCTGTTGCATTTTGCCTTGGAGCCAGTGGGCTGTGAACGGAAGACTCCGAGCCGTGGGTCTCCCGGGAGTTGTGGGTGTCTGCCTTCCTGTTCACAACTCAAAGCTGACTAATGATACAGAAATTGAGACTGAAAACAGCCTCCTCCCCATGGCAGACTAGGCTTTCAGTTTGGGGACTGGGATGCCACCTTCATGATGGCAAATAAAAGAGCTGACAATACCTCCCCGAGAAAATGACTAGATTAGTATTCTTCGCATGGTCCCTAGAAATTCCTTGAAGCTGCTGCACATTATTGATCACTCACCTCTTCTATTGCTATTTAGAAAAGTACCATTTTCTTTAAGTCTTGGAATTAATTGGAACCACTCTGCTTGTGTTAGTGGTAGGAGATACCACTGCTTTCTCACTGAACAGTTCGCCAAGGGTCGAATACAAGCTCCTGTAACCCTAGGGACAGAGAGCATGCTTTTCACCCTTTCCTTGAATTGGGTTGATGTGAAGATGTTAAGGTTTTTGCTAACTTCCATTTTTTCTGGCTGTTACCTCTAAGCTGAGCTTTGGCTTCTTTCCCTGCCTATATGATAATGTGTGAAAGAGAGTGTGCTTTTACTGATGTTAGGTTACTGTGTGGAAGAGTCTAATGAATGAACAATGAAGTGAGGGCCAGCGTACTGCTCAGTGGTGGAGTCCTTACCTAGAGTGCTGAGGCTGCGCTTCTATCTCTGGTACTACAAGGAAAAAGGAGGAAGAAAGAATCAAGGAGTTTAAGGCATTCTTGTGGTCAAGGCAGATAGTGTAAGAGAACTCTATGGATAAAGCAGCGTCAGAATTGGAGACAAGAGCAAACAGGGCAGAAACTGGAGGAAAGGATAAGGAATTGTGGTTAACAATAAGATAGGGTAATGGACTCTGAAAACTGACCATAAAAAAGACTTGAGATTTACATAGAAAATGGACCAGGATTGTGGTTTATGCCATGGCTTTCAGTTGCATTTACTATCTGCAGAGGTGAAGACACTCATTGCGGTACCAGGGATCAAACTCATAACCTTGCACTTGCAAGGCAGGCACTTATGCCAC